TTATTAATTACGATGATTAATAATTTTCGAGATTTTGAAAAATTCTATCAAAATTCGATGTTAAAATGCTTATAAAAAAAAATTGTGCCTATGTATTTTTAATATTTTTCAACTGATATTGTAACAATATATCAGGAGCCTTGTATTAAATTTTTACACTTTTTGGCCCAACAGATAAAACTTAATTGATATTTATAGAAAAAAAAAACTAAAAAAATTGAAAACTGAAAATGTCCGTAAACGGCTCAAAAAGTGTCAAAATATTTTCAAAATTGTAGGGTGTATAGGAAATGCTAATATAAACATTCAGTGAAATTTTCATGTATCTACAGTAATTCGTTTTTTAATTACAACAAAAAAAGGAAATTGCCACATGAGAAATCGAGTGAATATCCAATGTTGTAAAAATTTGAATTTCAAACGCTCATAAAAATTTAATTTGACTTTCCGGTAGAAATTTTTTTATTGATAAAGGTAGACAATCTTATGAGTAATCTTGTATTAGATTTTCAAATCTTAGATTTAAAAAGAAAAATTTTTACGAATTCTTAACTCAAAATAATTTGCTAATTTTCGTGATTTTTCCATATTTTGTCAATTTTTGAACTTTAAATGCTTATAAAAAAAAATTGTGACTAAGGATTTTTAATATTTTTCATCTGCCTTTGAAACAACATATTAGGAGCCTTCTATTAAATTTTCAAGCTTTCGCAACCAACAAATAAAATTTTATTGAAATTTTTAGAAAAAAAACTAAAAAAAAATGGAAAATGAAAATGTCCCTAAACAGTTCAAAATAAATCAAAATATTTTGAAAATGTTATCGTGTATAGAAAATGCAAATATAAACAACCAGTGAAAATTTCATGTATATACGTTCATTTGTTTTAGAGTTACACCAATAACCAAAATCGATTTTTTGGAAAATCAATTTTGCGTAAAAATTCCCGTTTTTCCTTAATTTTTATGTTGTTTTTTCCCGGCGCTTGTGAAAACTACTGGGAAATTTAAATTTTGACCTCCCCAATGCACCAACGATATTCACTTTCCAATCGAACAAGATACTGAAGTCGAAAATCGAAGCATTATTTCGACTACTTATCGTGTACACAGATACAAAAAAAATAAAAAAATAAAAAAACACACATGATTGTAAAATCAATACATTCATCGTTTCACTCAGAATCTAAAAATGTAAATCGTTACAACTTCCTTAAAATGATTTTTTTAATATATATATTTTTATATTTTTTTAATTTATTTTAATATATAATAACAAATCCAAATGTACACATTTTTTTTCATATGAGTAGTTAATAATTGCATCGTTAAAAATGCCATTAATTAAATCATCAGCCCATGAGGACAAATTACAATATAAAACAATAAATATTAAGAAACACGTACGACGTACCTATCACGATAGCGTGACAATGCGACGGCGACGTTGATAATAAATATTGAGGACTGAGCTAATAATTACCTATAATCGTAATTATTACGAACGGCGAGACGTGTCTCATAGCGTATATAGTAAACTCACATTAGCATTCTCCCTGTACCCGCGAGCACATATTTGAGAGACGTTAAAAATAAATACGTTATATATTCGTAAAAATTAATGGTACCGATAAAGTAAAACCTTTTATATTAGAATCTTATATTACGGACCATTATAGTACCATATTAATAGACACTGAAAATATTAAAAATAAGGAAGAGATTACTAATATAAAATCATTTATAAATATTAAACTATTAAAATCATTTTTAATGAAAGAGAAGTGAGAGGCTATATACAACCAAACAGAAGTTGATTCCTGTGCAAATACGTTCCATAATATATTAAATTATTATATAATCCAAGTGACGGATAAAAAAAAAATAACATCGTATCGAGTAAAAGGAAAATTAAGCCTTAGATAACAGCCGGATTAATTATATCAATCAGGAAAAGGGACAAAATAGGTAAAATTACAATAAAAAGAACTAATGGTATGCATTTATTAAGCTATTACAAAAAATACAAAAACAAACTGTGTACCTTCTTTAATTAGATATGCAAAAAATGAGTACTATAGAAAAAAAAATTAGGTATAGTAATAATACTAAAAAGGTATGGAAAGTAATTAACGAGATAACCAACAGAAATGTTAAAAATAAAAAACCAATTACACAAATAATTCATGAAAATGATTTGTTAGATATCAATATAGATACACACAAATGTGCCAATATATTTAATAATTATTTTATAACTGTAGGAGAAAAAATAGCAAATCAAATTCAGAATGACAGTACAATGAAAAAAGAAGTAGGAAATTTAAAAACCCAAAAAAATAATAATGAAAATATAACAGAAAATAGTTTAAAATATACCAAATTTATGCATGATGAGATATAGCTAATAATGAATACACTAAAACAAGGTTCATCACCGGGATTTGATTCCATCTCGTCAAACTTACTATTACAAATTTCAAACTATGTTGTAAAGCCGCTTACTCATTTAATTAATTTAAATTTTCAAAAAGGTATACTCCCAACCATATATAAAAAGGTGGGCAAGTGGGTGTCGCTCTGCTGTACAGTAGGTTACAAGTGGGTCACTGTAAAATTGATGGTATTAAATTTGAATTCAATGATATAATATCATTGTATAAGAAAAACGATTCTGAGCGGTGACGATATGTCAGTCTAGGTATAAAACATATTATATACATATCTATGGTATTAAACAAAAATTGACCTATAATAAATTCCAAATTAATCATAACACAATATCTATTAGATACTTATAACGCGTTATACATCAACAAAAACCGTGATACTATCATAGATATATAATAGTACACTTTAGAAGTTTCAAGTACCCACGAAAAATATTATTCAATCACAACAAAATAACTAAAATAGTTATTCTAGGTTTTTTAATATGTAATTTCGTCCAAATTTGAATTTAAAATGTCTGTAAAAAATAAGTGTGTTCATATATTTTTTAGATTTTTTTGGTTATAGTATGAACTATTTATGAGAACCTTTGTGTTGAATTTGTAATCCTTAGCTATAAAAACTGAACATTTTATAATTTATTAATTACAATGATTGATAATTTTCGAGATTTTGATAAATTTTGTCAAAATTTGATCTTTAAATGCTTATAAAAAAAAACTGTGCCTATGTATTTTTAATATTTTTCAACTGATATTGTAACAATATATCAGGAGCCTTGTATTAAATTTTTACACTTTTTGGCCCAACAGATAAAACTTTATTAATATTTATAGAAAATAAAACTAAAAAAAATTTAAATCTGTAAATGTCCATAAATAGCTCAAAAAGAGTCAAAATATTTTCAAAATTGTATGGTGTATAGAAAATGCTAATTTAAACATTCAGTGAAATTTTAATGTATCTACAGTTGTTCGTTTTTGAATTGCAACAAAATAAGGAAATCGCTACATGAGTAATCGAGTGAAAATCCAATGTTGTAAAAATTTGAATTTCAAACGCTCATAAAAATTTAATTTGACTGTCCGGTAGAGATTTTTTTTATTGATAAAGGTAGATAATCTTATAAGAAATCTTGTGTTTCATTTTCAAATCTTAGATTTAAAAAGAAAAATTTTTACGAATTCTTAACTCAAAATAATTTGCTAATTTTCGTGATTTTTCCATATTTTGTCAATTTTTGAACTTTAAATGCTTATAAAAAAAAATTGTGAATAAGGATTTTTAATATTTTTCATCTGCCTTTGAAACAATATATTAGGAACCTTCTATTAAATTTTCAAGCTTTCGCAACCAACAAATAAAATTTTATTGATATTTTTAGAAAAAAAACTAAAGAAAAATGGAAAATGAAAATGTCCCTAAACAGTCCAAAATAAATCAAAATATTTTGAAAATGTTATGGTGTATAGAAAATGCAAATATAAACAACCAGTGAAAATTTCATGTATATACGTTCATTTGTTTTAGAGTTACACCAATAACCAAAATCGATTTTTTTGAAAACCAATTTTGCGTAAAAATTCCCGTTTTTCCTTAATTTTTATGTTGTTTTTCCCGGCGCTTGTGAAAACTACTGGGAAATTTATACTTTTGACCCCCCCAAAGTACTAACTAGATTCACTTTCCTATCAGAAAAGCTACTGATGAAGAAAATCCAAGCATTTTTACTGTCCTAAAACGTGATGACAGACACAAAAAAAAATATAAATAAAAACACACATCATTGTAAAACCAATACATTCATCGCTCCGCTCAGAATCTAAAAAGCTGTTATATGCCCTATATATAAAGCAGGTGATGAAAGAGAATTACATAATTATTTATTATAGACTAATTTCTTTAATTTCTTCCATAGCTAAAATTATTGAAAAATGTGCTAAGATGCAACTAAATCGGTTCACCTTTAATAACAAAACTATAAGTGATAAACAATTTGGATTTAGGGACAATATGGGTTGCCAAGAAGCGATTTCTTATTTTTCGAAGTTAATCTACGAATCTTTAGACAAAGGTAAAAGATGTTTAGGTATATTTTCAGACATAGCTAATGCTTTTGATTCAATAGAGTATAACTTACTTCTAAAAAATTTGAAAACAGTATTAGGTAACAACATCTTATGGTTGTGGTTTAAATCATATCTTTCAAATAGATCTCAAACAACAAGAATTAACGGTGAAACAAGTGACCCGTGTACAGTAAAATATGGTATACCTACTGTAACAGTTTGGCTACACTGCTTGGCCGGCTGTTCTGCCTTATAGGTTATATTTTGTATTATATTAAATTAATTATGTTACTAAGAAATGTTGTAAAAGCACATTTACTTATTGTTCGGTTCTCTATGTAATAAAGTACTAAAGTGTCATTACTCAGGTGTCATGTGTGTAATTATTATTTGGTTACCTCTTTAATATTGTACATTGGCGACGAAGGCAAAATGGTAAACTTTTTATTATAAAGTACGTTAATAGTGGACATCGAAGTAATGGCTCCAGACAAGTTCCACGTGTTTGGTAGTATTGGTACCGTTTCGGAGTTTGAAGCGACGGATGATTGGAAATTGTACCAGGAAAGGCTGGAACAATATTTCCTCGCTAATGCCATTGAAGAAGGAAGGAAGGTTCCTGTATTACTGTCAGTAGTTGGATTAAATACTTACAAAATAATTAAGGATTTGAGTGATCCGGTTTTACCTAAAGATAGACCGTGTACAGAAATTTGTGATTTGTTAAATGGTCATTTTTCTCCAGCAGTTTCGGTATTTCGAAAACGTATAGAGTTTTATAATCTTCGACAAGGTGAAGTTGAAACTTGTGGAAATTGGTATGCAAAACTGAAAAATGCAGCCATCGAGTGTAAATTTGGTGCAAAACTAAATGATGTACTCAAGGATAAGTTTGTATCTGGATTAAGAGCAGGAAAAGTGTTGGACCGGCTCTGTGAAGAGGATCCTGAAACAAAAACGTTAAAAACTATGGTCGAACTGGCGCTGAAGTATGAATCAACGGTTGTTAATTCAGTCAGAGACATTAACGTTGTGAATACTTACAAAGGCAAAAATTACAGACACTATGTTGACAAGAAGGCACCTAAGAACTATAAGAACATGGGCAATGAAAAAGCGACGACAGCTACAACAGGAGCAGCGAAGCTGGGACCGTCTACTACAAGTAAAGCAGCCTGTTTTGCATGCGGTAAGAGCAACCATAAATTTTCTGAATGCAGGTACAAGGAGTTTATTTGCAATGTATGTAAGACCAAAGGTCATTTAGCAAAAGTATGTAAGAGTAGGAAAAACAGCTATAAGGTTAAGTCTAATAATTATGTTAACTCTGAGGAAACTCAGAAATTAGATAGCTTGGGTATGGATTTTATTAATATGTTTAGTTTAAATGAAGTTAATTTCTGTGAACCTTTTATAATTAAAATGTTAGTTAATGGGGTACAGTTAGAAATGGAACTAGACACTGGTGCAGGAGTGTCAGTTTTACCAGAAAATATTTTAAAAGGAAAATTAAGAATGTATGAAATTAAACCTACCTTTGTGAAACTCAAGGCTTATGATGGAGCAATAATTGAACCGATTGGTGAAGTGGAAATGTGTGTCGATTATAAATCAATAAAAAAAAAGTGTAAGTTTTTGGTTGTTTCAAGTGATAATAAACCGTTGGTTGGTCGAGATATCATGGCAGAGTTTGGCATTGGAGTTAACAACCTGATTAATGTTAACAGTAGGAAGTTAAATTTGGATAAGTTGTTACATGAATTTAAGGATATTTTTAGTGAAGAGATTGGTACTTACAATTTTGAAAAAATTAATTTGAAGCTTAAGCCAGATTCAAGTCCAGTATTTGTCAAACCAAGAACGGTTCCTTTTGCGTTTAAAGTTAAAGTAGAAGAGGAGTTAAGTAGATTAGAGAAGGAAGGTGTCATTACCTTAGTGGATAATAATGATTGGGGAACACCCTTAGTGCCTGTGCTAAAAAATAATGGAGAAATAAGAATTTGTGGTGATTATAAAACTACAGTGAATAAGTTTTTAGAGGATGTTAAGCACCCTCTGCCAAAGGTAGAAGAGTTATTTGTAGCTTTACAAGGTGGAAAAACTTTTTCAAAAATTGATTTTAGAAATGCGTATAATCAATTGGTGTTAGATGAAGAGACAAGTAGACTTCTGGCTTGGAGCACACATAAAGGAATTTATTTGGTAAATAGGTTGCCATATGGAACCAAGCCAGCATGTGCAGTTTTCCAGAAAATAGTTGAAAAAGTTTTGCTTGGTTTAAAGAATACAATGAATTTTTTGGATGATGTAATAGTAACTGGTGCTACGGATGAAGAGCATACTGATAATTTAAAAGCAGTTTTTAGTAGGCTAAAAGAAGCAGGTTTCCGTGTGAGCTTGAGTAAATGCAGTTTTTTTCAAGAAGAGATTCATTACTTAGGTCATATAATATGTGCTAAAGGTCTTAAGAAAGATAAGTCTAAGATGGAGGCGATTAGGTTAGCCCCTAGACCACAAAATGTGCATGAAGTAAGAGCTTTCGCAGGCATGGTAAATTACTATGGTAAATTTATTAAAAACTTATCAGGTTTAATGGAACCCATTTATCAATTATTAAAAAAAGGACAACAGTTTATTTGGTCTGATAAATGTGAGAAGGTTTTTTGTAAAGCGAAAGAGTTAATGTGTTCGGATGACATTTTGGTGCATTATGACCCTTCTTTGGAACTAGTATTGAGTTGTGATGCTTCTCAAAAAGGCATAGGTGCAGTGTTATCTTGTATTTTACCTGGTGGCATAGAAAAACCTGTTACATACATATCAAGAGTTTTAAATGAAACGGAACAAAAGTACTCAGTTATTATCAAGGAGGCGTTGGCAATTTTTTGGGCGGTTCGAAAACTAAATCAGTATTTGCCAGGAAAAAAATTTATTTTGAGGACAGATCATAAGCCATTGTTGGCAATATTTGGAGAAAAGAAAGGTATACCAGTTATGGCAGCGGGCAAGTTACAACGTTGGGCTATGTTTTTAGCTGGTTTTGATTATAATATTGTTTATATTAAGGGAAGCGAAAATGGTGCGGCTGACGGATTGTCTAGACTTCCTTTAAAAGTGAAAGAGGAGGACTTAGGTGAAGATTATTTGAAATTTGTCGAAAGGTCCTGTCCTATTGATGCTTGCATGATTAGAGTTGAAACAAAAAAAGATAGGATTCTAAGTGCAGTTTTATCAGTTATTAATGGCGATTCGGTGTTAGAAGAAATCTCAGCAGAAATGAATACCTTTATTAATAAAAAAAATGAGTTGTACGTTGAAGAAGGAATTATTATGTGGGGTTATAGAGTTGTCATACCAAAAGTTTTACAGGAAGGATTACTTAATGAGTTACATGGTGCACACATGGGTGCAGCTAAAATGAAGAATCTGGCTAGAACTTATTTTTGGTGGCCAAATTTAGATAAAGATATTGAAAAGTTTGTTAGTAGTTGTATTTTATGTGTTGAGGCAAGACCAAACCCACCATTAGCCAAGTTAATTAAGTGGCCAGATAGTGTTGGTGTCTTCGACAGAGTACACATTGATTTTTTGGGTCCAGTCTCTGGAAAAATGTTTTTTGTTTTAACTGATGCTTTTTCTAAGTGGCCTGAAATTTATGAAATGCCTAGGACAGATGCAAAATTCATGATAGACAAACTCAAAGATATTTTTGCAAGGTATGGTTTGCCAAATAAGATTGTGTCTGATAATGGTCCACAGTTTGTTTCGGCAGAATATAGAGAATTTTGTCATCGTAATGGTATTAGAGTGATAACTTCACCACCGTTTCATCCATCTACAAACGGGGCAGCCGAGAATGCTGTTAAAACTTTCAAAGCTTGTTTGTTGAAGTTTATTAAGGACAGTAGTAAATTCATGTCAGTTAGTTCTGTGATTAGTAGGTATTTATTTAACTATAGGAACACACCACATTGGGTGACTGGAGAATGCCCTTCAATGTTAATGTTTGGCAGAAAAGTGCGTACTAGATTGGATTTATTAAGGGAGTTCGGAGGTAGAAAGGATGATCAGTTTAAAAATTTCAAAGGAAAAAGAGAAGTAGAATTCGAGGAAGGTGAAATGTGTTTTGCCAGGGATTACAAAAATCCTAATAAGAGATCTTGGAAAAAGGGAGTAGTTGAAGAGGTTCTTGGAAAAAGAATTTATTTAGTTAGGATACTAGAGAGTAATGTGGTATGGAAAAGACACTTAGATCAAATGATCAAGTCTGGTGACTTCTATAGGAACCCAAGTGAGAACATAGATTATGAAAATGAACTAAATAGTGATGTGGGTAAACAATTAGATGATGAATTAGAGAAGGAAATAGTAAAAGAAAAGTTGGACTTAGTACTAGGTGAAGCTTCAGTTGAGACTCCTAAGAGTGATGAAATTGGTAGATGTGAGAGGCGACCTGGACTAAGGGGAAATATAAAAAAAGTAATTAAGTTAGATCTATAAGATTTTAAATGTGTATTATGATTAATATTATTATGTTATTTTTTTTATTGTATTAATTATATTATGTTGATTATATCTGTGTTATGATTATGTTATTACTAAGTACAAATCTTAGGGCAGAGATATGTAACAGTTTGGCTACACTGCTTGGCCGGCTGTTCTGCCTTATAGGTTATATTTTGTATTATATTAAATTAATTATGTTACTAAGAAATGTTGTAAAAGCACATTTACTTATTGTTCGGTTCTCTATGTAATAAAGTACTAAAGTGTCATTACTCAGGTGTCATGTGTGTAATTATTATTTGGTTACCTCTTTAATATTGTACACCTACCGCAAGGGACAATGTTAGGTCCGTTACTATTTAACATTTACCTATGTAAACGATTTATTAAATATAGATATAAATGGCAATATACTAGCTTTTGCAGATGACATGGTTTTATTTTTCTAGGGGGAAACTTGGTCGGAAGTGGAAAACAAAGCAAACACAGGACTAGTACGGGTTAATAATTGGTACGCCAAAATTAGTTTAATGCTAAATAAAAAAAAGTCAGTATTTATTCCCTTTGCCTTGTCCAGTTATAACAAACCCGAACAAATTAATATTAAATGACATAACAATAACTGTAAAATAAGTAATAAAACTTACATATGTAAGTATGTAACCTAAATTGTAGATATTTATCTAGAGTTGCTTTAGCCAAATATTTAGGTGTAATATTTGATGAGCATCTAAAATGGAAACCACAAGTTGAATCAGTAATAAACCGTATAAGGAAATGTTTTTTTATTTTTAAGGAATTACGAAATGTATTTGATACTCCCGGACTAAAAACGATAGGTATACTTCGCGTTAGTCCAATCCATATTAATGTATGGTCTGATTGTATGGGGATCAGCTTATAATAATGTACTAGAACCATTAAATAAATTAATGATAACTCAAAGAATGCTAATAAGAGTCCTAATGAAAAATTATTATATTACTAAAAACATCAATACTAACGATTTATTTGTTAAATTGAAAATATGTACCTACTTTAGAACAATTATATGAACAATTATCAATCATTAAAGTGTTCACTAATAAAACTGATTACGAATATAATAATATATATAAAACAAGAGGAGAGGATAAAGGCAATTTAAGATTAACTAAACAAAATACCACAAAAAAACTATATAAAAATTACTATATAAATAAAGGTATTAAATTGTTTAACCAACTCCCTACAGACATTAAACAAATACATTAATAAAAATAAATTTAAATTAGCAATTAAAAATATGTACATGAAATCGTCTGACTAGCATAGTAATGTCTCTTTGTCTCTATAGATTTTATTTGGTCTCTTTTATTATAGATATTAATAATAAGTTATTGTGTTATTTATGTTAAAAAATTTTAGTTAAGACTATAGGTACTATTAACTATGACATAACACTATAGCAGTAGATTTTATAATATTTATTTTGTTATATATATTGCCAACAAGTTATTATGTTTATAAAAATTTAATTGTATGATGCTGTTTAAAAGTTCTTATATATACTATTAAGATTTTTTTGTAAAAGACTCCCTACTTCCACCACAAGCTTACAGGGAGTAGGTATCAACTTAATATGTGAATATGTAAATATTATTTGATAATATGTACCAATGTAGTATGTTGTAAGTTGAAATAAATAAATAAATAAAATAAAATAAATATGTAATACCTACTTAGAGATGTGAGTTTGCATACAGTGGTGGTAAATTATAGTACCTATGCACCTGGTATAAAATAATTTTATATAGGCTGTATAAAAGAAAAAAATTATTAGTTATTAATATTGTTATTAATAAAATTAGGTATTCAAAATGAAATAATATTAATAAAATGTTTTGTACAAAGAATATACAGAAACTGTGCCTAATAATTTATTTTTAATCTACCATTTCTAAATATATAACTCACACTAGGTAAATGCCAACACCACCTATATCAGGGATGGGCAACTTGCAGCCCACTGGCCGCATACTATTTTCCACTGCGGCTGTGCTACATTTTAATGTATTTTATTTTATTATATTTATAAAATTATTAAAATCGATATAATGTTTATCGTAAAACGTAGATATTTTATCTTATCTATTATTGAACTATTAAATGTAAATAATATTATATTATTTATAGTGGTATAGTTAACATTAGGTTTTTTTTTGCTTTCTTTGTTCTCTGGCCCACTAGATTTTTGCACATTCAAAATTTCAAAAAACTTTCCGTGACAAATTACAGTGGATTTACCAATTCTTAAACGCCATTAAAGACTTTTTAACACAGTCATATAAAATACAGGTCTAAATTTATATTCAATCATAATAACTATTTTATTTTTTGTAACCAATAACAACCCTATAATAAACAAAAGTTTTTATTATTTTTTTAACAAAATTTCCTAATTTGCAGTAAAAAAATTAAGGGCCACTTATTGAGATAAAATAAAGCCTATAGATCCTTGGAATAGTGTAGCCTTCTGATGGTAGAAAAAAATTTTAAATTATTTAAGTAGTTGCATAGATTACTCTAAACAAACAAACAATTTTTCTCTTTATATATTTATTATTTATATAGACGTAGATATATAATATTAGGGACTGTTATGGTATGACAGCGAGTTAACTTATAAACTTGGATTTTTAGCATGGAAATAACTAAAAAATAACAATTTTTATGTGCATACATTATAATTATGTTATTATTAAACTAATTGCTAACAAGTAATAATTTACCATATAACTTTAGTATTCACTCCACTATTAATGTTTTACTTGTATATATAATGGATTTCTAATAAATTATAGTATTACCTAATATAGCTAAGGTGAAGTTAGCCCTCCCATATAAACATTTTTTTCTGGCAAATCCAAAGGCATGTAAATTCTAAAAATTACATATTGAATTCTAGCATATAAATATCATAATATGTTCTGTGAATATTTGAAGTGTTTTTGTATAAGTGGGGGAGGGTTTTATTTGACTATAACAAACTCTTTATCAGATAAAAAAAACATCATCTAAAAATATTAAGATAATGGATTTAAAGGTAATATTAAAACAAAAAATACAATACATTTATAAAAAAAAATTATCAATATATTATTTGATTACAAAATGCTCAATTAATAATACAAAATAAAACAGCAATAATAATTTTAAAATAAAAAAAATCCTATCTATAATATATAATATTTTATTGATGACTGTATTTATAACAATCCCAACAAGTGAAAAAAAAATTGTAAACAGGTAGCTGGAGGTTAGCTTGATGAAAGGCACATTTATATTTTAAAGCAGTTATAAATTATTGAATTCTTAATAGATTTTGAGAGGAGCTTGGGTTATTCACAAAAAAGTAGTTTAAGTTTATTTTAAGTAATTATCCACAATGTTTGATCAACCACTATTATCATTTAAGTCCATTTCATGCTTTCATGGAATCCTGGAATTTCTCCGTCCAGATGTTTCTAAAAAAAATTTTATTTAGATATATAATACTTAATATATTACTTTCAAATAACAATAAATTATAATAATAATAATAATAATACTCTTCATTTGTGCAAGAGGTTCAAATGTTGGCATAACCGGCAATGGATAATTCATAGATAGAAGCCGATCCATGTTCATTACTTGTTCATCCAATTCTTCTAGTCCAAGATTTTCGAATTCTTTTCGTGATTCCTTCTATACAAATAATTATTTTATGTTAATTGTTGAACGGTCACTAAGGAATACATTTTCAAATACTTAAGTCTCTATTATACTTTTAATAACTGGATAGAGTTAATTTTGCATGTATTCAATTTCAATAGTCACTAATTACATATTATACATCAGCATATGAATGTACTACCAGTAAACAAATAATTCTACAAAATCATCAAATCACATATTTCTACTGAACATTAAGAGGACGTTGTACCTGTTGTGTTATCACCGTCTTACTAACGCATAATATATCAAAATATACATTCAGAAAATTCAATTTTGAGTTGTTGGCTTAAATATTAGAGTGAATTAATTTATTATCAAGCGTTAATGTATGTTTAAATATCGTAAAAAACCAAGAAGAGAACATAAATGTTCTTATATTTGTGTTAGGAAGCGGAGACAACACATGTGGGAACGACGTCGTCTTAACAAAAATAATCTCACTTTTAAAATCAAATGTGTATATGAAACTAGACATCATATAATATAAATATATAAATTACCAACTGTGCATAGAAACCATACAAATTGCATTTGCAACATAATCCACATACCCAAAAATAAGTCTAAAAATATATAATTCATTACACACTAAACATGGTAACTGTTTTAAGATTCATTGAAAAAAAATTACAACTTGGCTACATCAAAAACCAATTATAGGAATCTTATAAAAATTAGGAATAAGAATTTTAAATGACCATTAATTTGTACTAATTATAGATATACGTTATAATATTTATTAATAATTTTCGTGTTACTACCATAATATTGTATTATCTAACCAATTTTATTATGAACAGATGTTTTTATAACTTTATTAAACTCATAAGTTACATTCAAAGTTTAAATATTATCAAAATTCAAACGGAAAACAAACAATAAGAATTTTAGTTATTTTATTGTAATTCAAAAACATTATTCATGGTGTCTTGAAATATTCACTTATATTATTATATTATTTATATACATTACGTCATTATCAAAACATTAAGATTAATTTTAAGCTATTGCCTATTTACACTACGGCGCTTACACTACTACATATAATATTAACTATATAATATAATATTATCAATTATCATACATTATTGTTATTTGTTATTAACTAAGCTAAAACTGATGTACTATAGAACTGTGTGAATAATCCCCTGGTATAAAATATAGAAGCTTATAATTAGTCTAAATATTTTGAAAATGTAATTGTGTATAGAAAATATTAAAACAATAATATATATCATTTAGTAAAGTTTCAACTTTTGAGTCCTCTCTGTTAATACTTTTTTGAATTAGAAAGTGCAACTAAGTAACAAACATCGTTATAGGAAAAATAATTTTTTCTTTGTATATATCCAATATCATCATAATTTGAATTTTTGTATTTTTGAAAAAAATGTTAGCATATTATGTGTTTTCAATATTTTAAAATATTAATAAGAATCTAAACATACAGTATTCAATTATAAATTATAATTTATATATTTTGATTTTAATAGGTTTACCATATTATTATGTTGCAAACTGCAATTGTATTACTATAGGTACTACAAGTGCAATAAATTATAAATTATAGGTAGATTAGGTACTTACATATTAATTTATGTGAGTTACATCCAAATGTAAATATAAGACCAAAGTAGAGTGTACCTACATTTAGCAATGAACCCTCACCCAATGCACAAATGAACATTTACTGCCAACCCACAATAATACTGATCCATAATACTTAGATTCGGTGCCACTGACACTGACTCTATAATATGGTATCTTAAGTCACTATCACCCACGAATTGGTGATGTATACAATTAAAATTAGTATTATGCCAACCTATTTTAATACAATTTAATAATATTAGCTGTCACAATAACAATGTGACCGAACCTATACAAATGAAACACCTGATCAATATTTATTACTTGTTTGTCCAATTCTTCTAGTTCAAGATTTTCTAATTCCTTTTGTAATTCTTCCTATATAAATAATAATTCAATTTATTTATTAAACAGTCACCAATTGCATCGTTTATTTATCCTATATTTCTAATTCCTCCATATTCATATAATTGTCAGGATAAATAGTTTATATTTAACACGATATGCTAAATATGTGGGCATATAAAATAACTTAAATTAAGTACAATCATGTATTACCTAATCAATAAAAAAAAGCATTTATAGTTTAAGTTAGCTCCATTACCTTTTATATTTTGAAATTTTTCTTTTTGGCGTAAAAATTCTAAGTAATAGGTATACTAAATATTCAAACAATAAAAGGTTATAAAAGTAATTATTAAATAATAAATTACTGAGAAATCAGTATACATATACTTAATTATTCAAAAAAATGGAATTATATCCATCAGAGATATGATAGAACAAATGGACAAAAAATAATATCTTTGTTACAGGGTACCTATCTATTTAAAATTATTATTTCACTTTTAAGCAAAAATAATTTTTCTTACCTCATCTTCATCTGGTTCTGAACTGGTTGAATTACAAAAGGCTGCTGATATTTCTTGAGTTAAACCATGTGACTTTGTAATATCATCAATCATATTATGAATATCATCTATATTGCTGTAAGAAAAAATAATATATTATTTTCTTTTTTTACTTTAAAGCCAATGTTATATTATTTTATTTTGTAGTACAGCCATTAATTTAATATTATACTAAGAAACACTAAGGACTGATAAATAAATAAATATAATTTATATTATTATAAAATATTATATATATTATATTTATTTCATATTTATAAATAAATATCTAATATGATAAGTTTAATACATATTAGTATACTGCAGTTAATTACATAATATTTTAAATGTTTATTAGAAAGTATTCATTAATATAGACATATTATACCAAGTTTATTCAGTATTAATTAACAGAAAACCAATCTGAATTTTTGTTACCTTTTCTATTTAACTACAAATGAATAACTATACTAGCTTGCATTCTGATGATACTTACATATTTTCATTGGCCATGTTAACGGTACTTAAAGAAGATTTCATCACATTAGCCAAAATTGTGTTTGTGTTAGCACTTTCTAAGGCCAAACGTTGTTTTATGACCATCAATAAAATGCCTTCTAACTGATTTGAATGTTTTTCATAGCAAATCTTTCGCTTCAAAGCATTCATTGCAACTGCAACAAAAATGGAAAGTACATTAAAGAAATAATTATCAAGTATATCTAGTTATAAGAACTCTATTCAATATCCACCTTGTTTATTGCCGATAACATTTTGTTTTATTATAGCCAACTCCTTTTTTGTATTAATATCCAATATTTCACGTCTTGCCATCAACAATTGTTCAACGGATCGCAATTTTACCAATACATCAACCTCAGTCAATGATCTGGTCGATGGTTTCTGATCTGGTTCCTTTGTTTCTTTTTTCTTGCCTCCAAAAACCTTGCGGAAGAAACTCATTTTATTGCCGGACATTCCTGTAAGGTGTCAAATTAGTGTCGGTGTACCCTACTTTACGTGTGTAATTACTTACAGGTAAATACACGATTAGCAAATAACTTTATTCATTAATTTATAAAAAGATTCTGAAATTTGTACCATCAACAGCGATTTTAAATAATCCTTTTTAATTTTAAGCATTAATAAATAAGAAATAACGGGGACTGGCGAGTTCCTAATGTCCGAATAGGACGACTTGTAAATTTTATTAAAATGTTATGACTTATGAAACATGACTACATGAGTTTCAGAAAATTAGCAAGCGTCGTGATAGCTGTCGGACGTACCAACCTCTTATTAAAAAATAACGCCTGGACTGGGGTACGTAACAACATGGAACAATTCAAGGTGCATTGATAAAACAAGCTAACGATTCGCGCTCTGGTGGCATAATCCTCAAATTGCATAATCGGAATGTATTGATATAATTTTATATTGGTTATTTTACTTTTTATAATAAATTAATTTTGCTATCAAAACTTTATACACTTTTATAGCTAACTGTATACTCTCTAAAGTACAATGTCTACTAATATTATAAAATACATTTAAATACACTTCACTTAAGACAAAATGTATGCAAAATGTCGGGAAAATAAATACGATCTCCCGAATCTACGTATAGGCGGGTACCCCTCTACGACTCGATTAAATATATAATATATTATTATATAAAGTATATTATGGGGGTTGAGAGTTTTATAATGTTTCTATTTAATATTAATACAAGTATTTAGGATAAGACAAATATGTTTAAAAAAAATAGTTCAACCGGTCCACCTTCAACATTTTAGAGTAGGGCAGGTAGCTTAAATAATAAAAAAAAATGCAAGAATACAATGACCCTTGAATGAGAACCCTTAACATCTGACATCTAAAATATATAAGTATAATGTATATATATATATATATATATATATATATATACCATGTCAAATTATAGCTTCTTTTTTAAATTCGATTTTTATGTATCAAAATACTTAGAAAAATAGTCTGCTTGGAATATGAAATTAAAACTATGTTGTCATTCAAAAAAGTAAAAACTTAAAAAAATATAAGGATAAAAAATATTTAAAAATATGATTTTTAATAAAGACGTTGTTTGTTAACAACTTGAAACTATACAAAAAAATATTTTCAAAAAACATTAATACTCTTTGAAATAATGAGTGTTCAATGATAAAAGAATCGCTCAGTATATATATCACTATAATATCATATACAGTGGTCGCCGCTTATTGGACTCACGGTTAATTGACTCATTCGCCTATTAGACTCAAAACGGCTGGTCCCGATTCGCACATATACTAACACACAGCAAAAAATTCGTCTATTCGATTCACACACCGGTTAATAGGGTCAATTTTTTAATTGCGTATAGCTAGATTTTTATTTTTATACATACATACCTTGAATCTCAATACAAATTTTTAAGTTTTGAAGTTTTTAAAAATGTTTTGATTCATTAGCCTTATTGACTCATTCGGTTAATTGACTCAAATTGTCGGGTCCCAAAGTGAGTCCAACAAGCGGTGACTACTGTATAATATGCATCATAGTATGATACTACCCCCCTTCTCCAAAAGAAGACATGTGCGGTATTCATATCCAGTGGAGTGGGACCTATTGGAAACCGGATGACGCAATAGGACGACCGCACAGGAAATTGGTGACACAATTTTTTTGCACTTTGCTATAAATCGAACCAATGATAAAATATATGGATTATTATATAGATAAACTGCCTAACAACATTTTATTAAAAAATCTTTGTCTGTCCAATATTATTTCATATTTATGGCTTTAAAATTCTTACAATGGGTAGGTCACTGGTCACTATATTATACTTCATTAATATTTTTGATTTGTTCTATATTTATTAAGTGACTAAAATTTGTATACAATTTAAAATAAATATTAGAAAACATTAAAATCCAATAAAAAACTAAAATACCATATTGATGCAGGTATGAGACTTTGGTAGTAGCTTCAGTACAAGGACTTTCAAATACAGGACCGTACTAACTAGACCTACATAAGATTTTATCGCCCTGGCTTTGCTTATTATTAATTTTTCTTATTTCAGTATTTTTACACAGTATTTATTAAGACTGAATTATATTTTTGGAGTATACCTATATTCGTTTTATTAATAAAACGATATGACAATGCTCTTTTTTTGCAGATTTCATTATTTAGTTACCTATTTTATTATAAAATAATAAAGATAGTACCTATTTCTATAGCATACTCATATATTATGGTCAAGGCCGGATTAAGAACCTATTGGGCCCCGGGGGTTGAAATTTCATATGGGCCCTTTTGACAAGGCACGCGTTAAAACAAACTGGCTACGCCCACAGGAAGATACATTTTTCTAACTATTTCACAAATGGCAATTGCATTATAAAATTATAAAATGAATAGGTAAGTATATGTAATTTATATGTCTATAAAGTATACAACCACTATTCACTAATTGTAATATAATAAAAGTAAAGACGGCAGAAGCTGATATTTTACAAATTTAGTTTTGCCGCTACATATATTTTTAAATACCTAATGACTTATCAGTTTTGGTCTTTGAATATAAATGGCACCACACACATAATAGAGACATATCATATTAAGTATGATAGAAGAAAAATTTTTTCCACTACTTGAAATATACGATTTCTAAACTATTTAAATGATATAATTGAAAAATTAACAAAATGTACATATCAGCTTCTGCCATCATTCCACAGAGTTAATACTTCATATTTCATTAATTTAAATTCAAATTTTCATACCAACTTTTAAATTTATTAACATTATACTTATTTCCAACAAATATTAACTAACAGTTATTAAATAACAGTAAAATGCGCCTTTCCTACAAATAGGTATTTACTATTTAGTTGTTTTGTTTAAAAAAATGGTTTTTAAAATATAAAAAAACTATTCTTTAAAATCACTGAAAAATGTGTATCAGCTTAAAATTGTTTGGGCCCCTTTCATTTTGGTACTTGAAAGGGCCCCGGGGCTTCCGCCCCGGCTAGACCCCCCCTTAATCCGGCCTTGATTATGGTACAAAACCCAAGGTATACTTATAGGGATTTGTGATATCCAATTTAATATTTACTATTTAGTCAAAAAAAACTCTAACTTTGCCGAAAACATACTTAGTAGTTGTATATTAAGAACCAATAATACATAATTTATTATATATTTATTATTAATTAAAAATTTCCCATTGTATATTTGAAAACATCGTTTCACTTTTTTATAGTCACTTAACATATGCCAGGGTGGGCTATTTCCCTCGCGAACTGCTTAAACACGGCCCTAGCCCAGTATAATACACAAGTGGTATCTAATTTATTTTGGAAATGTTGGTTTATTTATTTTATAATTTACTAAATAGATGATTTTAAAATATAAAAATTAATATATTAAAAAGATTTCGCAAATAAATGGTTTTACTTGAAGTAGGTAAGCAAATGTTTGTATTATTTTCACGCAAAAAAATAAACAATAATGTTTATGTATAAACTAAAAACTCGATTAATGTGATAGATACCCACTCTAATAAGTGTATCTAAAACTTTAGTGCACTAATAAAAAGTTTTAGAGTAACACCAATCAAAAATAAGGGTTTGGCTCTTACACTAATAGTCGAACTGATATGATTGGAATGCTAGCATAAAATTCAAAAATAGACCCCCTAATACTAAAGGGTGTCATGGATTAAAAATTTAAAAAGTATTATTACAGTAAAATCTCTCTTAACGGACACCTCTAATAACAGACACATATTTCGGTCCAGGTACAGCCCCATTGAAATTATTGGATTGAACTCATCTAAATATCTGACAACTCTTAATAACGAACGCAAACAGGTTTAGGTAGCCCAATGTACTTAAATAGCTAACTGACAGCTATACTGAGAAACAAAATTTTACTCGTGTTGTATACTAGTATATTATTATAATAGTACTATTTTTTTTTTTTATTGAACTTAGAGCCCGGCGACCAGTCCGGCCCAGTGGTTTACTGTCCTGGAGGACAATAGGCCGATGTCTTAGTCTAGGTTTTGGGCCTTGTTAGTACAATTATATCGGTAGGTACTTAAGTAAATATTAAAAGTATATTGTTTCAAAGGCAGATGAAAAATATTAAAAATCCTTAGTCACAGTTTTTTTTTATAAGCATTTAAAGTTCAAAAATTGACAAAATATGAAAAAATCACAAAAAATTAGCAAATTATTTTGAGTCGAGAATTCGTAATTTTTCTTTTTAAATCTAAGATTTTAAATGTAATACAAGATTCCTTATAAGATTATCTACATTTATCAAAAAAAAAATGTCTAAGAAAGTCAAATTAAATTTTTATGAGCGTTTGAAATTCAAATTTTTACAACATTGGATATTCACTTGATTTCTCATGTAGCGATTTCCTTATTTTGTTGTAATACAAAAACGAATAACTGTAAACAAATGAACGTAGATACATGAAAATTTCACTGAATGTTTATATTAGCATTTCCTATACACCATACAATTTTGAAAATATTTTGACTCGTTTTCAACTGTTTACGGACATTTACAGCTTTAAATTTTTTTTAGTTTTTTTTTCTATAAATATTAATTAAGTTTTATCTGTTGAGCCAAAATGTGTAAAAATTTAATACAAGGCTCCAGATATATTGTTACAATATCAGTTGAAAAATATTAAAAATACATATGCACAATTTTTTTTTATAAGCATTTAAAGATCGAATTTTGACAAAATTTATCAAATTTAAAATTAAATAATTATTTTGTTGTTAAAAATTTATAAAATGTTCAACTTTTATAGCTAAGGATTGAAAATTTAAAACAAGGGTCTACGTAAATAGGTAAATATATAAATTATCTTATTCACAATAATAATATCATCAAATAATATACTTAGTAATATCGTAGGCTGACTGACTATTTTCGCTCAGAATCGT